ATATATATATATATATATATATATATATATATATATATATATATATACATATTTTACTATTGTTTTTTTATATGAAATTAATGTATACACAATATATGTGTATATAAAAAGATATATAGATAAATAAGATATATCTCAACACAAATAATTAACTTTTCATTTACTTTCCTTCCGATTTTGGAATGAATGATTTTTGTGAGTGATAAGATCATAATATTTAATATTTTTAATTCCTTTATATTTAGTTTTATGACATATTTTATGTTAGTGAGCTGATTAATATATTTATTGAATTAGGGAAGCATTGAATATATTTATGGAATATATTGTGTAATTTACAGCTTTTAAGTTGTTTTAATCTATGGAGCTTCAATTGAGATTTGGATGACGTTAGAGTTTCAGAATGAGAAAGTGGTATTCATGAAGTTTTTAGAGGACGTCTTAAGCTTTTCAGAAAGGTATGGTTTGTAAAAATCTGAGTTCGTTTGGGCCTCCAAACATTGTTTCAAAGTCAGCCCTAGAAAGCTGATCAAAATCCTAATTGAAGTTGGATTCCTGTCCGGCCCAATAAACTTCAATAGGTCATAACTTGTGCTTCCGAAGTCCAAATTAGGTGATTCAAAAGCCAAAACTTATCTCAATATCCAGGGCTACAACTTTCATCAAGAGCCCAAATCAATATTCAATCATTATTTGATAGAAAAATAACTTACAAGTTTCAGCACGATTATGTGATTTCTGTCGATCTGTTTTGATAAGGAATACTTATAATGTAGGAATTTGAGTTGTACACGTCTTGGAAGTGTCATATGTCTTCTATATGTATCTATGGTTGCTTGGAAGGAGAGGTGGGAGAGCAAAGAAGGAAGACACAATATTTTTTATACAAACTTGGGTTTTACCTAAGTAATGAGCAGCTGATTTCCTTTGTTTGGTTGAATGTATTCTAAGTTGGTATATGGTTTTGTGAGACTTGGTTTAATTAATTAAGATCAATTTCTATTTGAATGATATGATTCTCTGATTTATTGATGAGATTACATAGTTCTTTTGATTAAGGTGCACACTAATTAATGTTCTATGTAATGAATGTTAGATTAAGTTCTTGATCCGTAATTGTCTTAAAACTTGATTGTAGTAGCAATCAGATTATGCAGTTGTTTTCCAAACTTTTATTATTAATCTGAGGGAATTATAAATTGGATTAATAGTTCTTTGCTGGTGGAGATTTGTTATTCAATCTTAGTTGTTCTTAAGGCTGTTATTAATAGAAGGAGGATTCTTAATACTTGAATTGATTAATAACAAGATTTAATATGAGTACTAGGCTTGTATTAATGTTTATAGAGATGAAGAAGGTCGTTTAGCATCTAAAAGTTCTTTGAACTAAGCTTTTGATAAGAGTTGATTGTTTGTATGTCTATGATCAAATCCATAACCAACAGTTGAATTGTCTTTGACCCAACGTTTCTTTAATTGATTCTTGTTAACGATTTGATAATCTATTTTTATGACAAACAAAACCCCCTTTTATTTACATATTATTGCACTTAGTACCAGTTAAGTTAATTCATTTCTCTATGGTATTGACCCTTGCTTGCCACTGCTATATTTGTAGTGTAGAGGTAAGGAATTAATTTTGGTTGTGAATGACGCACACCAGTGAGTTGGAAAGAAAGTTAATACATCTACTTTTTCATCCTTCCTATTTTCTTTCCTTATCAAACATGATGTTTTATTTATCCTTCCAACTTTCTATGCTTTCAATTTTTCATCCTCTTACTTTTTCATCATACCAAACAGAACATTAGTTAACTATTTTTTTGTTCCAGTCGATAAGACCAATACCTTCCTAGCACTTCTAGGCTACATAAGATAAAAAAAAAAAAAAAAAACTTCACTCAAGATTGGTCTAAGACCACCCCTCTCGTCGTAGGAGGACATCTTAATCTACAACTGATTGTTTCAAAGACTTAGTTGTGTAATAGAATATGTTGGTCCCCCCTAATCCTAGCCAAGATGAGCTAGCAAGTCTTTCATTTCTTCCTATAGATGCATCCAACTCCTTCCTAACCTTGTTCCTCGTTTTATGAATTTCAAGTGAGATCCTGCCAAATGTTGCTACCTTAATGATTGCACTGAAATCACTCCGTGCAAATCATAATTATAAAAAATTACAAAAGTAGAAAATTTTGAATTACGTAAGGTATGCAAATGTATATCATCGAAAGTTAAAAGAGAGTTGATGAAGGACTAATTGAAAGTTCTGTATAATACTTAAACAACATAATCCACTATGTAGTGACATGTTTTTATAAAAAGGGTCCTTTGGAAGCCAAAAATATACAAGAAAAAAAAATTTGTTGTAAGGAAATACACTGCTGAGATACAAAGACTTAACTGTCAATTTTCTAAATTTTACTTTTCTAAAAATGGTTTTAGGAATATATCTTAACGTTAATTAGTTACATAATGATAAGGCTTAACTGCTGGAATTTAGAAATATTACTTTCTTAAAAACGGTTCTAGGAATATATTTTAAAATTAATTAAGTACACAGTGACAAGCCTTAACCGCTAGATTTTATGACCATTAACTCGCAAAAAGCTTCATCTTCAGAAAACGATTACCATTTCTTCTTCCTATCCAAAAACTGATTCATCTTCTTCGCACGAGAAACCCTAAATCATTCCCTGAACATTTACATGGTTTCATCTTTGAAAGAAAAATTCTACTGATTCATTATTGTAGATGTAAGTTCATCTGTGTTTTCTGCATAATGTAAAAATACAGTGTTTCACTATAATATAAACAGTGTTCAGTGGTAAAAAATTTAAAAGAGAACTGGATTGTTACAATGAAGTTATATGCAAATATATATTTGACAAAATGTAACAGTACAGTGTTTTGTGTAAGTAAATTTTTACACTGTTATTGTTACACTATAAATGCATATCAGATTTGTACTGATAAATTGTTTGCAAGCTGAAGAAGAAGACGACAACAACTAATACTGTTGCAAAATTTAAAATTCAAATCAATTGATTTATCCTCAAAATAAACGGAAGAATCAATTCTCCCATTAAATTAGAATATTTTTAATGCATAAATATAATTTAAAAAAAAACAGTTTTAAAAAATAATCGCATAATTTAAGGAAGGATATAAATGTCAAAGGAAAATCCGAAAATTACAAATTTTGTACTTATACACAATTAAGATGTAAAATTAAGGATTTTCTTACTTTACATTTTTTTGTGTACTTTTTTATAATTAAACTCAATTTAGTGTACCCCTTCCAATTTACCCTTATAAAAATTGTTATATTAGTAAAATTCTATTTTTAAATAAAAAATATCAATGGATCACTTTACTGCATCAGATCACATGCGGCCCACTGGGCCTACCCTTTAGTTGAAACAGTAACCGGACAGGCCCACGTTATTTGAGGATCTACCGCCTATAATAAAGGCCGTCATCACCAACGGTGACGACCGACATTAAACCCAGAGAGGAGGAGGAGAGAGAGAAGATGGTGACCTCGTCGGTGGTGAACACGTACCCACTATCGAGCTACACATTCGGTACGAAGGAGCCCAAGATGGAGAAAGACACTTCTGTTGCTGATCGCCTTGCTCGCATGAAAGTCAAGTAAGTCCAACTTCACCACTTCTTCGAATTAACTATCATTCCCATCTTGTAGAAACCCTAGATAATCCCTGTGAGCTCCAATTCATATGCATAAGCCATTGTAGATTTCACACTATCTAGGGTTTTTTTTTATCGCTGAATAGCTTCTTTCTCCTTTTCTTTTTTGGGAAATTCGTTAATAGTTCTGCTGTTTAATTGTGAATATGTTTTGGGGGTAAAATCTTTACAACGTGACACTATGCATTGGACATTGAGTTGCAGCTATTCGAAAGAGGGCATGAGGACTAGCGTTGAAGGAATCTTGCTGGTATGTTTAACAAAACTCGAAAACCATATTTTTATGTTTTCAACTGGTCATTGGTAGATAGTGCATTTTATATTTCTCTACTCAATTTTTGATGAGCCCCTGTTTATTTTTTCAATACATATTTCTACCGATCTCAAAGCCATTGTACCATGCGTTCTTGGGTGATTGGGGGCATTCGAGATTTACTTTGTAGCCAAGAGATCAAAGAAGGCGAGGGTGGGACGATTTCCATTACCCAAAAAAACTTTTGGAGTGGCAGTGTAGTTTTGAGTTCAGAGCAATCAGGTTTCGATATCCTTGAGGGAATTAGGTCTTACATTATGCCATTATCTCACAGGGACTCAACGTATTCTACTAAATTTCATGTTAATATTTTGACCTACGAGGGGATACAAACACTTTTTTGGTGCTTAGGGGAAGCAATTATCTCAAGGAAAATGTGTAATTCTTCTCCTTCCATTTCCTAGAGCATTGAGTTAAAATGTGGTATACATTGGTAGTCATACTCTACTTTGGTTACATAATGAATACATGATTCCCTATTACAGGTACAGGAACATAATCATCCCCATATTCTTCTTCTGCAAATTGGAAACACATTTTGTAAACTTCCTGGTGGGCGTCTAAAGCCAGGAGAGAATGGTATAATGTTATTTTTCTCTCTCATTGACCATTTTTATTCTCTTTCTGACTATGTGCATTTTGATTTTGATCTTTATGTTCAACCATGCTCTTCTTATAATGTGCAGAAATTGAGGGATTAAAAAGAAAACTTTCCAGCAAACTTGCTGCTAATTCACCTTCTCTTCAGCCAGATTGGCAGGTATTGTTTTGAGGCTGGACATAGGTTTAAGAGATTTGGGTAATATATGTGGATACTAGGAATGTGTAATGAAATTCACCAGAACTTAGTGGGGGTAGCAAACGAAAGGGTGGTAAAAATACCCAAAAATGGAGTGAGATTGCAAAAATTAGCAAGCATGGTAATGTGATGTGTTTGGGAAACTCAGCTGGAAGCTATCCTGTATCAACCGTGTACCCTTTTGCTGGGGTAATGTGTGTTTATGTTCTTTAGGATGCTCGTTGATTTGTGTTCCTTACACTTGTAGTTTTATGTGATTGCAGATAGGTGAGTGTGTGGCTACTTGGTGGAGGCCAAATTTCGAAACCATAATGTACCCGTACTGTCCTCCACATATAACAAAACCCAAGGTAATGGATAATAGATCCAAGCTAAGTCTAATTTATGGTTATTTTTCTCTTCCTATTTCATTACACTTACCCTTCACCCCATCCTCTTATTTGGCTAACGATGTTAGTTGGCACTTTTCTTGGTAATGCAGGAGTGTAAGAAACTTTTCCTTGTTCACCTGTCTGAGAGGGAGTACTTTGCCGTTCCAAAAAATTTGAAACTTCTTGCTGTCCCGTTGTTTGAGCTCTATGATAATGTTCAGGTAATATAAATTGTAGCTTTTTTGTTCTCATCAGAGTTGTTAATTCGCATATCAGAAGACGTATCATTTTTCAAAAATAGTGTATCGTATAGTGGATCGTGTATCATAAGATATGCACAATTTTAATTTTTAAATAATTGTTAATAAAATACATATAATATATATATATATATATATATATATATAT